TATGACTTATTTGGAGCAAGTTGCTATTGGTCAGATGGGGAAAACATTTTCCTTTTGAGTAGTTGGAGCTGAAACTTGTAAAGATTTTTGAGTTACTACTATATAGAAACATTGTACAGAAGAAAAATTAATGCATAGAGAAAATGACTTGCTAAATTAAGATAGATCTTTCTGAAAGGGGGAAGGGGATAAAGAGATGTAGAGGGAGAGAAAGGGTAATGGGTAAAGAAAAGGGATTACATGTATCAACCCACACACAAGTGTAAACATGATGTACTGAAAATACGTACACATGCATGCACACAAAAGGATCAAGAGATGGATAGATGGAGAGGAAAGAAAAGGAAAGAGAATGAAAAAAAGGAATTAAGAAGTGTTGTGTATACGTATCACCTTCCCACAATGAAATATAAACATTATGTACTACACACATGTACTACCAATAAAAAAAGATACTCTGGTAGGGACAGGTTTGGATATGGGCAAAATAGGCATATTAACCCTACTCCCAGTGTGAAACTAGTGAGGAGGCAGGGGCAAAGGATGATGGGGTGAAAATGAATAAAATGAACTTTAAAAATTGTCTAGAGATGTGGCTCAGTGAGAAGACACTGTGTAGCCATATCTTACCAAGAATTCATTATTGATTTATAATTGTTTTCAAGTGCATTGTTTTATATTTCCATCAAGCATGTAAAATGGAAATGTTTCCCCTGAGAGAAGCATGTTAAAACTTTATAATGACACCTAGTAAATTGCATGGAACAATTTTGAAGACTAGTTTTTAAAACAAAATATATTAGTACATTAAAAAAAGATACTATGTGGAGTATGTACTTCAGTTTGTATAACTTTAATAGCCTCCCCTAATAGTTGTATAATTTTGCTTTTGCATTTGATGTTTTCAGATTCATAATCCCAGCATGAATTCATTTTCCTATGTTGCTCTATGTGAAATATTATTTTTTAGCTTTTGGAGTTCTTCAGATTTTATTTTGTTTTAGTGGTACTGGGGAATGAATCTAGAGCCTTGCACATGCTAACCAAATACTCTGCCACTGAGCTACTTTTCTCTGGCCAGTATCCTTTAGTTTTTAAGTGGTAATTTCTAAGCATACTATAGTTGGTAATTATTACAATGAAAATTTTTCATTTGTTGTATCCCCTTTAATTTGAAATTTGAAAAATAAGCAGTGTCAAACACTGGAATTAGCAATTCTTGGCTTATGTTAGACATTGCAAAGGAAGATAGTAATGTAGCTGAAGCAGATCTGCAAGAACAGATTACAAAGGAAACATAGTATAAATATGTGTATATAGACACATGTGCTGTACCTTATATCTGTACTCTATAAACATAGCACATAGTATATGGCATTATTATATACACTTTTCTCTCTGTGTGTTTACACACACACACACACACACACACACACACACACATACACACTAGTTAAAACTGAGCTCTAAATCCCTCATTTAAAATCAGGGTCTATTCCTATCTCTGATAAGGAATAAAAATTTATTGTAAACTTTAAGGTCTATGGTGGAAGAGAATGATTTGGAAGTAATTAGTGTAGAAGAATAGTTCAGTAGTTAGAATTATGTACCAGTTTTAGTATCTTTGGAAGGTATCTTAGTCTGTGGAAGTCGAGAGTAATAAGGAAATACCTTTTTGAAAAATGAACAGGAATGGAAAGATTGTAAGTCAACTATATGGAATGAAATAAGGTACATCACAGAACATTGGAAACTGGTTCTACATGTGAAGAGTAAGATATATCACCTAGGAGCTGTTGGATTGATTTCTCATGGTTCTTTACTATTTTTAAGAGATCTCTCTTTTCATGGTCACTGACCACCATTCTGTCTTCTATATCTGATACTTTGTCTTTAGATTGGGTCAGTCTGTTGTGTATACTTTCAATAGAGTTTTCTTTATCTCCTGGATATCTATTTGAATCTGTTTCATGGATTCCTTTTCTTTCCTATGTGGGCATTCATGGCTTCTACATGGTTCTGAACTCGTGTTTTGTTTTTGTTTTTGTTTTCAATCTGTTTCTGATCTAGACTCTCTAATCATGTCTTTCATTCTGCTCACCATCTCTGTAGTTATCTGGGAAATTATTTCTGTTTTGATTTTTTCCTAGAGCCTCATTCATCTGTTTTATTTCCTGTGCTATCAGTTCAAGATGTGGGTTGTTAATTGTCAGACTTTTCCACCTTGTTTCCCCAAGAATTTGGCCTTTAGAGAGCTGGCAGTCTGTGTTTGTGCCTTGCTTAAATGTATTCTCATTTCTGTTTTTGTTGTTGGTACTGTCCTTGGTTTAATTGGGTTCATACTTCAATTTTCCAGGTATAGCTTGGTTTTAGGTTTTGAGTCTCTGGTGACTTGGAGACACTCTCATTTTCATAATAATAGGAAGGACAACAACCACTGTGGTCTGGTGTGCCTTTGTTGCAGAGATTCTCTTCACTTTTCCATTGGGCTTCAATTTTTACCAAGGAGCCTGAGAGAGGCCGTCTTTCTGTTGTTCACTTCTGCTCTATCTTCTGGAGCTCAGTACAGTGGCTTTTATGGCCCCCTGTACCTCTCTGATGTGCATCCAGGTACCAGTACAACCATAAAGGTGGGGTGGGGGTGGGGCAGGCACTGGGCTGATACTGTAGGGCTGTGGGGCTTCACTCCTCTCTGGACTGCTGCACTGCTTGGAGGCCGGGGTGCTGGGGATGGGATAGTAGCCTAGCTCCACGTGGCTCCAGCACTCCTCATCAGTCTGCGCTGCCTGTAGAAGAGTTAAGATGAAAGGAGAATATTGACAGTGACAGAAAGTGTTGTCCCCATAGAAAGTAGGGACATCATTTAGGTTAGGGCAGTGATAGTGTTGTGTCATTGGTCATTTTCTGGCCAGTTTTGAGAATGATTGGAGGTGTGGGTTGGGTGAGACCCCAAATCAGATGTTATCAAGAAGTATGGAAGCCAGTCAGATTGACGTTTTTCATTGAGGAAAGTCTCAATTATGGAGTACTTGTTGTTTATTGCGGGATATTAACCTTTCTTTGATAATAATATCAGTTACCCATCAGATGGTGTGATAATTCCCCCTCTCAAATTTCCTAATGCCTCTAGGATAGGTGGTGCATATTCCCTAGTTAAATAAGATTGGAATTTTGGCTTTATTATGGTGGTGGAATAAAGAGGAGAAAGTGCGTTATTTGGAGGTTTGTGAAGTAGAATCAGAAGGACTTGGTTACTGATAGGATCTTGGGGATACATAAATATCAGTATGCACAGAAATAGGTGCTCCTTTGGGCAGTATTGTGACAAATTTTATAACAAGTTCAATTTCATAAACCAAAAACACGAGATTCAGAGGAATAAAATTACTTTTGATGCTGTGTCAACCAAAATAACTTTGTGGATTAATGTAGAAGAAAAATCTAGGTATATAAAGCTAAATATGGGGTTAAGAGAGAAGCCAGGAATATAGCTTCTTGTAATTAGGACACATCAAGTCAGAACTTTGACTGCTGTTATGAAATTCTGAAAGATTAAAAATGAACAAAACAAGAGGACTTTACCCTCAATCAATTATATTTGAAATAAGGCAAATGCATTACATTCAGAACCTTAGGATGGGTGTAAAGTATTATGAAGATTCAAAAAACAGCAATCAAATTCCAGATTTTACTCTCAGAAGCTGAACTATGCCCGTCCAACTTGAATTTACTATTTCGCTTTTGTTGTAAGTAGTGCGTAATTGTGAAAGCCTTAACATTCTATTTTTCTCTGGACTCTCTATTGTGTGCTTTTGTTTTTGAAGTCTCATTGGCCAGGGTACCTGCTTATCTAAATGCAGTTGTCACTTGGTATAATTAGACCTAACAAACCAAACAATTTGTAGGATTGTAAGCAGAAAAATATTCTTAGTTACATTGTCATTTCAAATCAGATTAGCTCATTTGAATTTATATTTAGTCCTTATGAACTACATATTAAAAATGAAAAATTACTTGACTGTTGTCATGAATAACAAAATTTTTCATCTTTATGCTAGTTATCTGAGATACTATATTTCACACGTATTTTAAAAGTAAAGCAGTAAAGCTGTCCCTCTTAGTTTTCTAAATTGGATTATATTTTGCATTTCGTGAATTGAATTTGCCAGTGATATCTTTTAAGCAGATTATATAATACTCTAGGTCTATTAAGAACTTTTTAAAATTAGTTTTGGCACTGAAACAGTAGTATACTACTTTATAGTAATGCTTTTAAGTTTGAAATGTGAAATTAGAACTTCTGTTGCTTTAATATTATCAAAGTAATATTAAATTACAGTTTGAGTTATTTTTGATTTGGAAATGTATGCAGTAAGAAACATCCCCATTTTCAGTTATATTAGCATTGGCTAGTTAATATCAACTGTTACCTAAGCTGACTCAGCCAAACTGAAAAGACTGAGAAATATTTTATCAATCAATCCTAATCCAATCATAGACCACATTTCTGCTTTTATCTTTCAGTTTGTGCAAACATATTACTCTAGGGCAGGTATTAATAAGGTATTGACCTTTAGCTTGCTTGTGCTTTTCTATGAATGATATATTCAAAAGTAATTTTAAAATAAAAATTTTATATAAAAATTTAATGTTAAAAGTATGAATAATACCAGTATTATAACTCTACAAGTCCATGAGTAGTAAGATAACTAAAAGTTCCTGAAGGCTTTGAAGCGCTTCCTTTTGAAATGAATGAAGCGCTTGATGGCAAATTGCATCATAAGGTAGTTTGATTTACTTTCTAGTATTGATCATTTATGAGTCCTAAACAATACCTACTTCTGGGTAGTCTCAATTGGTGTCCTAAAAGATTTTTAACAAATTCTCCAAACTGGCTGTTTTTGTTCCACTTTGTTAGGTTTTTCATGTTACTGTGTGAATTTGGCATTAACAATAAATTAAAACCAGAGAATAAGTTATCTTAAAATTTTTTGTTACAGACTTAATTCAGTGCACAAATGAGATGAATGTGAACATCCCACAGTTGGCAGACAGTTTATTTGAAAGAACTACAAACAGTAGTTGGGTGGTGGTCTTCAAATCTCTCATTACAACTCATCATTTGATGGTGTATGGAAATGAGGTAAGATTTTTTTGATTAACAAGTGTATTGATATGATGACTGATGATTCAACTTGTTTCTCTCCCTGAAACTTGAATACTGATTTCAGCAAATGAATAATATAGTTAAAAAGAGTAAGGTGCTTAGCAAGAAATATGCTTGTAGGCCCTGCCATTTGAGGAAAGATGGCCTGTAAACTAGAAAATAAAGTGGGTCAGAGCATAGAAGCTTTCAATAATGAGATCAGAAAGCAAAGATAATTTCAAAAATGATTTCCAAAAGCAGCACTGCAGTCTTCAGTTATAGACTACCTGTCTATATCACTTTAATTGTAGTGCAGATTTTTGTTTGATTTCATATGGTTGTCTGTGGAAATACTTTACCTTGTTCAAGTTTGTGAGATTGAAAATTAAAATGACATATTGCTGAGACTAATTAAAGAATGCCTTCTTTATCAGAGGTTTGTCTAAAGACTTTGTTGCTCAAAATGGCAAACAATAAGACACAAGTTCTAAGACAAATACCAATGCATCATTATTAATTTTTAGAATTAAAGCAGGAATTTACCCACAACCACTTTATCATTCAAGCACATATTTACTGTTGATACATTTTGGTGTTTCTTCTGGTCATTGTCCAAGTGTTTGTATTTTTAATAAGTATAACCACAACTGAGATAAAACATTATATTTAGAATATATATGTATAATCTTTTGTAAATAAGTATTCCCATATATTTATTCTGTTATCTTTACATAATTTTATGTTCCATAATTTTCTTAATTATGTGCTGGAAATATAGTTTGCTAATTGTTCATTATTGTAGTATCACATGGAGCAATTTACTAATAGTTGTTAATTGTTAAAATGACTTCCAGGAATGTTACCTGAGATATGATTGATTACTAAGTCAACAGATACAACTATTTTCAGGGTATATGTTACTTGATAGCTTGTTAATTTTATAATCAATTTATAGAGCTAGTAGAAATGTTTGGATGTAGTAGTTTAAATGTAACTCAGAACATTTGGTCTTAACTCCGATGATAGTTTCTATTTTTCATGAAGAATGTGTTTACTTAGGATTGTGGTCATTTATTCTGGAAAATTTTAGGCTTATATGTATTTTTCTTTGGAGGGGTACAGTTTGTTCTTTAAAAAGAAAAAAATCCACTAATATAACCAACTACAATGCTAGATAAAAAGTATTCAGTACTGGGTTTCAGAAGTTGTAGATAAGGTGATAGTGTTAGAGACAAAAATGTTGATAAAGGCAAAACAGTGACTGCTATTCCATATAGTTGACATACAGGAGATACACATTTAAGTGTGTTTTTTAGATAATTTCATGTATAATTAGCCTTCAGCTAAGGCATGTTTTTTTCTCTCCTTATTTTTTAATGCTAATTTGTACGATTCTTAAATTTTGCCATCAGCAGATGTTATTAGCTTATGAGAAGGGTATGCATGAGGTTTCAGTTGTGCTGTAGGTATTGGAATACTGTAGAACAGTGGTACTGAAACTGCGCGAGGAAGAGAAGTAATTTTTTCCCTCTTTAGACAGTATTTGTCACAACCAGATCGGATGCTGGTATCTGATATGTAAGGGCCAAGGCTGTTACTAAACATCTTAGAATGCACCTGTTACAGCATAAGTTGTAGATTATTAATAAATGAAAATGCAGAAAAAAATTACAGATGAAATTTTAGAAAAAAGTATAGAGCCATTAAATATTTTATTATGAAAAATTTCAAATATATGCTATATAATAGTGAAGTAAATGCCTATATACCTGTTCAAACATATGCTATATAATAGTGAAGTAAATGCCTATATACCTGTTATCTAGCTTCAACATATATCAGTATTTTGCCTTTTGGGAGCAACAAGACCATGCCAAGTTTATTTGTGTCTTGCTGTATGTAAGCATTATTGTAGTTTTTAAAACTTAATCCTCTTAATTTTCTTCTATAAAATGTTAAAAACTATGGGGAAAATAATTTTACCATTCTATTAATTACTTTTGCGGTGATACATTCCACATTATCTCATGTAATACGAAATTAAAATCTGTGAACTAATTGCCAGATTGGTGGCATGGTGTTCAATACTGTACCATTTTGAGTATCACAAGGATATTGTTAGAAACATAATCAAAACTTGATTAAAACCATGTCTTTGCAGCTAAATACTATATTAAATATAGAAAGGACTAAGAAAATTTAGATCTGTTATCCCTAAAGATATGAATGAAATGGTCTGATAGAGTAAAACATGTTCATTTATAGAATGCAAAGATTAAAAAATATTATCAATCTACAAAAAAATCATACTGGTAGTACCTTAGGATATTTTAATGATTTTTGGAAGAGATTATTTTAGGGTAATGGCAAAACGTGAGTCTTCAGTTTACAAATTGGTTTTCAAAATACCACCACTACTTTGTCGTAAAACCAAAATTACTGTTTCTAGTTTAAAACTGCCTACTTTTATTATTTTGACTTTAATATTTTTAATAACTTCAGGCATTAGGCTTTAATGAATTCCTATATTCTATTGAAAAATGTATTATAGTTTTAGGTTTCATAACTAATAGAAATGAGATTTAAACTGTGAACTTAATGGAATTTTTTAACTATAACTTTTTCTATTAATTTTCAAATTAGATTTTGTGAGATGGCAATACCTTAATTTGATAAAATTTTTTTTCTCCAGCGTTTTATTCAGTATTTGGCTTCAAGAAACACATTGTTTAACTTAAGCAATTTTTTGGATAAAAGTGGATTACAAGGTAAGGACAGCTTTCTAATTATAGAAAATGAAAAGCATAACCTCATATGATTACTATAAAATTGTACTGTCTTTTAGAATATATGCTGTTTTAAATTTCATGTTTTAGTGAAAGTTGTAGGGAAAAATATTTTAATTTGAAGATTAAGATTGTTTTAATTTCCTTGACACTCTTATAAACAGTACAGGTAGTTATTTGAGACCATGGATTCTTGAGTTGGACTGCCTGGGTTTGTTTCTCATCTATACCAGCTGTGTGAACTTAAGCAAGTTGCTTTACCTCTCCATACTTGTAAAATCAGGGAAAATGACAGTCCTTACCCAGTATGAATGTCATGAGTCTTAACCTAGATAATAACTAATGTAGAGTGCTTAGAGCATAGCCTGACAAACAGGAAACACTGTATAAGTATCTACTTTACTGTTATCACATTATTTTATGCTGTATTCCAAGAAATGTACTTGGAATAATACATGTTTTATTAGCTAAGGTGAGCATTTATTATCTTATTAGTTACTGAATTCCCATTTCCTTAAGATGGAAATCAAGCAGTTTTAGTGATGAGGTTTTAAGAATTTTATCCATAATTTTTGCATAATTTTAGAGTTTTTTTTTTTAAACTCTTTCTACAAAGATAAAGATGAGGGAGGCTAAAATATGTAAATTAATGATGGTTTTGAAAAGTAGTTTTGATTGTTGCTGTATCTCGTGGGGTAAGGCATCTTAAATAGATAGTGGATGTACAGACATATGAATAAAATTCTAGTGACTAGCAGAAACATGCTATATAACTTATAGCTACTAGTTGTATTTGGGGTAAGAATAATAAGGGAGCCCAAAGGGTTAAGAGAATGTTTCAGAGAAGTTGAATCTTGGAAGATGAGAGGTATTTCCTCCATCAGAGAAGATTAGGTACAATAAAGGGAACAGTGTGAACCAAAGAGCTGAGGAAAGTGAATTGTAATACTGTATAAATTGTACTAGTAGATAGGACACTAGATTAGGATAAGGTCATGATTTTTAAAATTTTGTTTATTGATTTTTTTTCTCCAGTAATGACCAGTTCACTGATTTTTTTAAAGTAGGCATTCAGTGAATATTTTCTGAATAAATGAATTGGTAATGATGTTAAATCCAGTCACATTATATATTTTAGTTGTTTTGATACTGTCATTTAAAAGTAACGTGATCAGTTAAGGCTAAATTTGATAGATGAAAATGATTTAAAATAAAACGGACCTACTTTTCAGTAAGGAGCTAAAATTTATAGACTTCTTTAGCCAGACAATAACTAAAATACAGAGTTTTAGTATTTTTAAAATAATGTGGGTTTCATATTGAAATCTCAAATAATGAGGTTTTATATTGCTGAAGTATTCAGATTATATGATTATGAAAGAAAATGTTACAATGATATATGCATTCATTTAGTTTTTTAAAAGACCATAGAATTGTCTTATATCTTATTGTTGCATATTGTCATTTCATTTTACTGGGCAATACTTTTTATAAGATTGGCATATATTACTTATGGTCATTCTAAATAATATACGTCTAGTGATTTCACATGTGTAAAATTTTTAAAAGTTGCCTGGTGATAAAATTGAGTTTTGAAGTTAGTAACTTGAATAAGAGAACATGTTCTGATCAGAAGCAAAACTGACTTGTTTTAGTGAAATTCTAAGAGAAAAGGTTATTAAAAAGTTGTAAGTGATGTACTTGACTTTAAAAATGTGAACCCCTAGAGAATTTGATACATAGTATTATGTTCCATCACTAAATTGAGTTGGTATAATCATTGAATAACATAGATCTTTTGTCGGTAAATAGAGTAATCATTTATGAAAACTTTTTATATTTCTTATAGGATATGATATGTCTACATTTATTAGGCGGTATAGTAGATATTTAAATGAAAAAGCAGTTTCATACAGACAAGTTGCATTTGATTTCACGAAAGTGAAGAGAGGGTGAGTTATACACTTTTTCTTTTTGACGTATAATGTATATCAGGTATCTTTTTGTAGTAGAATTAAAAAGTTTTGTAAAATTTTTGTAACAGTCCTGCTTAGTTTACATAATATAAAATTCACCCCTTTAAAGTCTACAGTTCAGTGGTTTTTAGTGTGTTTATGAAGTTGTGCAACATTATTACCATTATATAATACCAGAACATTTTCATCACTTCATAGCTAGTAGTCATTTTCCATTCTCCTTTTCCCCAGACCCTGACAATTATTAATCTACTTTCTGCCCGTCACTTTGCTTATTATAGACAGTTCATGGAAATGGAACTATATGGATATTTGTGTCTGACTTCTTTCATTTTGCATAATATTTAAGCTGTAGTATATGCAGAGTCTGCCAAAAAAATGTATACACACTTCAGGAAAAGAAAAACTTGCATAATATTTAAATATTAAATTTATTGAGATGTGAGACTAATACAAGTTACCTTTGGCCTCTATAATTACAAGAGGTGCCCAAAGTGGTGACCATTAGCTTCCAGGCATTAATATTAGTTTGGTGAATTGTTACTTAGATAACCTTGGTCCATTGAGATTGCTGCACATGCATTTTCATTTTTTTCTCTAAGGTCCAGCAGTATAACAGGTTTCCTGTGAAAAATGACATCCTCTAGGGTCCCCTATACGAGGGTAACACTGTTTTTAAAAAATCATGCTATATTTTTCCTGAAGGTGTAAACATGGTTTTATATGTTGTGGCATGAATCAGGACTTTATTTCTTTTGAATGGTTACCACTTTTTGGCTGTTAGGAATAATGTTGCTATGAATATTTGTATATAAGATTTTATGTGGATTATCTTTTTTTAACATCTTAAAATACTTGGTTATTAATTCCCTTTATTTGAGTGTATGAGTATACCTTGGAGTAGAATTGTTTGGACATAACTTTTTTTTTCTCTTTTTTTGGTACTGGGGATCAAACTTGGGTCCTTGCGCTTGCAAGGTAGGCAGCAGAACCACTGAGCTAAATCCCCGGCCCACTTTCAGTGTTCTTAATAACTCAAACTTTTTGAAAGTAGCTGAACCATTTTATATTTAAACTAGCAGCGTGTGAGTTTCATAATCTTGCAAAAAAAAAAAAAAAAACCTGGTTATTGTATGATTTTGTTTGTTTTGTTATTTGTCACTATCCTGCTGGGTATGAGGTAATATCTTGTGGTTTTTGATTTGCATTTCCCTAATGGCTAGTATCTTTTTATATGCTTCTCTGCCATTTGTGTATGTTTTTTGGAAAAATACTTTGCTAATTTTAAAATTAGGTTTTTTTCATCATTGATAAGGTTTTTGTTTTTAATATGTTCTACCCTTACTGCTTTCTGTAGTTTTAGTTGTCTTTGGGCAACTGTGATCTGAAATTATCAATGGAGAATTACTAAAGCAGAATTCTTAAGTTTCAAATTGGGCACTGTTCTGAGTTGCTTGATGAAATCTTGTGCCATCCTGCCCTGTCCTGAGTATGAATTATCTCCTTTTTCAGTATATCCATGTTGTTATATGTCACCTACCTGCTCATCAGTTACAGGTTTAGTACTATGTGTGTTTTTAGGCATTTACTGGGATTTTTGGGACTAATTCTTCATGGGTAAGAGAGGGACTGTGTATTCTGGACACCTGTTCCTTAATCACATTTTGACTTGCAAATACTTTCACCTTGGAAATTTTTTTCATTAACTTGCTAGTATCCTTTGAAGAAAAAAAAGTTTTTAAATTTGATAAAGTTCATTTTTCAGTTTTCCTTTGGTTGCTTATACTTTTATTGTCATGTCTTAAAAAAGTAATTCGTCATATTTTTAGCCCATATATCTAGGTTTTTAAAGTCTATTTTGAAATAATTTCTGTATACGCTATGAGGCATGGGTCCAAATTCATTCTTTTTTATTTGTATATCCAGGTGTCCAAGAACTATTTTATGAAAAAATTATTATTTTCTCATCGAGTGGTCTTACTGCCATTGTTCAAAACGAATTGGCCATAAATGTAATGTAAAGACTTATTTTTGGATTTTCAGTTCTGTTACATGATCTGTGTTTTCCCTTATGCCAGTACCACACTGACTTGACTTACTATTGCATTGGTAGTGGGTTTTGAAATTGGAAAGTATGAGTTCTCCAGCTGTGTTCTTCTTTTCTAAGATTGTTTTGTCTCTTCTGGAAGACCTTGTATATTTGTATAAGTTTTAGGTTCTACTTGTCAGTTTTTACATCTGGGATTTTTTTACAAGGATTTCTTTGATTGCGTAGATGATAGGGACTACTGCCATTTTTAATACCTTCAGTTTCTAGTACATAAATATGGAATATTTTTGTGTGAGGATCTTTGATTTTCTTTTGAGCTTTTTTCAATTTAAAATTCCTTTTTACTATTGAATGGAGATGAATTTAGTTTTTTGATTTATCCTAATAGTAGTCATCTTTACATATGGAGTAGTCACATGAATGATACAACTAGTGCTCATATACCTGATACGCAGCATTTTTTCTTGGAATATATGATATTCCTCAGGAAAAAGCAACCAAAGAGATTCTTGAAGGGCAGTGATGTCCCTTTTAGCTTTGAAGACCTGTCCTGAGGGGAATTTGGCATCTGCAAAAATATGTTGGTGAATAGCTTTTTGAGCTGCTGTGCTAATCAAACATCGCAGAGATTGAAGCATTTGATATATTGTTTGCAGCTCTCTTGAAATTTTAAATTATTAAACTGAAATAGAAATGTTAAAGAAAATGTAGAAGTAATCACATAGTTATACAGGAAATTTTAAAGCTGAACTCAAATGTTCTGTGTGATAATTCCAAATTAATGAGGAGGTATTTTGGAACTTATAAAAACTAAATTGTACTTATTTTGATATTTGGAGAAGATTTTAGTGGAGGGGTTCCTATTGGCAATCTTAACCCCTATATCCTGTCCAGTAAGCCATTTTCTAGTTGAGCTTTTATTAATGATGCTTCACTCTAAAGTGTTTTTAGCTTATCTTCAAGATATTTGTAGATTTCAGAATAATATGTTTTAAAAATACTAACCCACCCCTCCCAGTTTGAAGGCCGGTTTTGAGACTAAGGATAGTTGATGACGTTTTATTTTTTGGTCTAATAGAGAAAACTTTTTAATTGGGTAAGACTATCCTCTGATTATACACAGTTTATTTGACTGAAATGAGGAGTCATAATTGAGTGGGAACTAAGTAGTAGCACAAAAGTGACATTATACACAAATATAATGCGTATATGTATATGCATGCATATATATATCAGCTTATGTAAATGAAAAAAAGTAAAGAATATAGGGTATAAGTTGAGTGCATGACTGCAATTAAAATTTTTTTATATTATGGCAAAAACAAGTAGATTAAAACTTTTGGAGAGGACTTCTGTATAAAAGGGTTTTATTAAGATTTTTAATTTTGTTTTGTTTTAAGATGTGGTGTCAATATATTATCTGGCTGGCCCTGGAACTTCTGGGCTCAACTTCTGGGCTCAAATGATACTCCTACCTCATGTCCTGAGTAGCTGAGTCTACCAGCATGTTCCATTGTGCCCCATTTAAAATAATTTTTTATGTTAATGAAAGTAATAGGCTTTGACAGTATTCAAGATCAAGCCCATAGCCTTGTATGTGCCATGCAAGCACTTTAACACTGAGCAATATCCTTAGATAGTACCTAATCTTTTCTATACATAGAAATAAGTCTGTGTATGATGGTATGTAAAAAATTACATAAAAATTGGGTCATATTCTTTAAAGGTTTCTTCCCTCACAAACATATACACACAATATTTTTTAGACATTTTTAATGTTTGTACATACAGATTTATCTCACTTTTAGGAATGGAAATAGAATTATGTTCTAGATGTACATTTGATTTAGTTCAATTGTTTTAGTCTTATAAAAGCAATACATTGACCATTCTTTTACATATAGTTGAATTCTTAAGTAAATTTTCCTGTAAAATAAATTCTTAGAATAAGCAGATCATACAATAAATGTATTAAACATTTTCATAGAAAATTCCTAATTACTGTTTATAAAAGGTAAGAAAAATTATTGAGTAAGCTACAGCTATACGTACCTCTTTACTATACTTCCATCTTAATAAAAATGTGTTACTAGATGTAAATTTTATATTGGTTAATTAAATAGTGATATTGAGCCCTGCACCCTTTCTCTTTTACCATGCCATTCTTTGTTAACTGCATTTTGGTATCCTTTGCCCATTTCTCTATTGAATATTTTTATTCTTTTTCATTATATTGAATACTGGCTGTGGGCTTGAAAAATTAGCTTCACTCCATTCAGATGAAGAACTTAATATGATACTTCAACCAGCTTGTTGACTTAAAATGTATGGCTTTATTTTGAAATAATTTTACTTCTGAAAATGTTGGGAAAATATTCAGAGAACTTCTTTATTGAGAATCACTACTTTTTAACATTTTTCCTATACTTGTATAATGATATGTGTATGTATGTGCATGCACTTATTTTCTGAATTATGTAAGATTGGGTTACATGTATCATACCTTTTTTTTTCTTTTTACTGAGTTTATTGGTACAATCTAGGTATACAATACAGTTACATTCATAACTGGGATCATGTACCTTCACATGACAGGTCTTGGTTCTCATTTTTTCCCATTGTCCCTGCCCCCCCTTCATCTCTTCCTCCCCTCTCCATTTACAAATGCTTTATTTCCATTTTTTCATTTTCTCATATTTTTTCTTTTCCCTTATTGCCTTTCCCCTACCCTTCCCACTTTCCCTACATCTTTAGCCCTTTTCTTCCTATTTCGCACTATTAATTATCCCATTAGGGATCTTGTGTACTATTATAGTTTTTCACACCAGAGAAACTATTCAGTATTTACACATGTGTGACTTACTTATTTCACTTAGGAGTATATCCTCAATATGTATTCATTTTCCTATGAATGAATCTAATTTCT